AAAAAAAAAAAAGGAAAGAAAGAGTAAGTGTTGAAGAGGATGTAGAGAAATGGGGACCTTTGTGCATTGCTGGTGAGCGTGTAAAATGGTGCAGGCGCTATGAAAAAGAGTATGGCAATTTCTCAAAAAATTAAATATAAAATTACTATGTGATCAAGCAATTCCATTTCTGGATATACATATACCCACAAAGGATTGAAAGCAGGGATTCAAACTGGTATCTGTATACCATGTTCACCATCATTCACAATAGCCAAAAGTAAAAGCAACCAAAGTGTCCATCAATGGATGAATCATGGTACAAAATGTGGTACATCCATACAATGAAATATTATTCAGCCTTAAAAAGGAAAGAAATCCTGACACGTGTTACAACATAGATGAACCTTGAAGACATTATGCTAAGTAAAACAAACCAGCCACAAAAAGACAAATACTGCATGATTCCACTTACATAAGGCTCCTAGTAGAGTAGTCAAATTCATAGAGAAGAAAGTAGAACGGTGGTTGCCAGTGGTGGAGGTGGAGGCAAGGGAGATGGGAAGTTAGTGTTTAATGGGTACAGTTTCAGTTTGGGAAGATGAAAAAGTTCTGGAGATGTGAACAGATTTAATGCCACAGAAGTGTCCACTTAAAAATGGTTAAAATGAGGGGTACCTGGGTGGCTCAGTCGACTAAGTGTCCGACTCTTGGTTTTGGCTCAGGTCATGATCTCAGGGTCATGAGATCGAGACCCATGTCAGGCTCTGCACTCAGCGTGGAGTCTGCTTGAGATTCTCTCTCCCTCTCCCTCTGTCCCTCCCCACCCTGCACTCTCTCTCCCCTCTCTAAAATAAATAAATAAATCTTTCTTTTAAAAAAATGGTTAAAATGATCAATTTTATGTTGCGTGTATTTTGCCACAATAAAAAAAAAAAAGCACATTCCAATTCCAGCTCAACTAGTTACGAGCTATGTGACCTTGGGCTAGTTTTTTTTTTTTTTTTTTTAGATTTTATTTATTTATTTGACAGAGATAGAAAGAGAGAGAACAAGTAGGCAGAGAGGCAGGGAGAGGGAGAAGCAGGCTCTCTGCTGATCAGGGTGCCCAATGTGGGACTCAGTCCCAGGACCCTGGGATCATGACCTGAGCTGAAGGCAGCTGCTTAACCAACTGAGCCACCCAGGCACTTAGGCTAGTTTCTTAAGTCTCGATGTCTTCATGTCCTCATCTACACGACAGAGATGATAATGAGCCTTGCTCCACAAGCGTCGTCATCATTAAATTACCTAACACATACAAGTGCTTACAACAGTGTCCAGCACAAAATAAAGCCTCAGGAAATGATAGCTAGTATTGATTCCAAAATGCAGTGGGTTTTCCCCCCAGTTAATTAAAATAATGCTTTATGCTTGTATAACCCTTTAAAGGTTTTTCACAGCACTTTCAAATTTATTAGCACATTTAAATCTCATGATGACCTCTTCTAATAAGCAGAACAGTCATAAACCCTCTTTTTATATATACATAAATACATATGGAATGTATTATTAAAATTGATTTCACCTGCTTCACTCTTCTAATGTGGTTGTTGGAAAACTTTAAATTACATGAGTCTCCTCTTGTATCTGCATGAGAGCCATTCTAGAACCTGTCTCCCAACAACTGAAGACAGTAGCATGTCTAAGTATTATACACACACACAAAGCTAAAACCTACTCATTACTTCAGTGAACATGCCATTATCTTAGGAATCTCAAATTATATTCACATTCAAAAAGATAAATGTCTTTTCAAAGTTAAATCTGTGTCTCCCAAGATTGAAGATTTTTTAAGGCAAAATAACCCAGAAATGATCCTACGATAAAGCGTGTATGGGTCTCTAGTCTTTGTCACTGTATTTTTATTTACAAAAATATTTTTAGTGTCTACCCACCTCACGACATCTGTCAGTCTGCTGATCTCCCCATCCTTTTCTCCTACCTTCCCACCTAACAGGGTTGTTTAGCATGACCCCACTCCCTGGCCACTGCTGACTCAATCAGGGATAGAAATCTAATGTAAGCCACTCCAGTCTAGGGCAATTTGGATCCGAGATGGAAAGACAGGTTTTCCATACACCTGGAACTTGGCTGCAAAGCTGAGGGTTACGGGAAAACATCTTCTATCCACTGAGAAGCAGAAAAAGCAGTAAGAAAAATGAATAAAAGAGCTTTGAGGAGAAAAGCAGAGACTAACAGAAAGTACTCTCAGGAATCCTGCTGGCCTTCCAATTCCTGGAGTCAGTTCTTCCTAAAGCCTAGCTATGTTCTCGATCTTGGATTCAATGAGACATCCCTGTCTCTTCATCACATACGCCCCTCTCTCTGGCATATGCTAAATCAAATTGATTTTTGTTAATAACCAAAAGACTTCTAATTAATAAATCACTGTGGTCAGATTTAATAATATACATTAGTAATTGGCAAGAAGTAGAAACTATGAATTACTCAATTTATTGGTTACTCAGGCAAAAAATAAAAGAGGTATAAATACAAAAGACTGTAAATAGCTTTACGAGATTAATAACTAAACCACATGCATAAAATCTGTTTCAGTGGTGCCTCTACTTTCTTCAGTCAATAACACTTTCTTAAAACTGGCTGGGGCGCCTGGGTGGCTCAGTCGTTAAGCGTCTGCCTTCGGCTCAGGTCATGATCCCAGGGTCCTGGGATCGAGCCCCGCATCGGGCTCCCTGCTCCGTGGGAAGCCTGCTTCTCCCTCTCCCACTCCCCCTGCTTGTGTTCCCTCTCTCGCTGTGTCTCTCTGTCAAATAAATAAAAAAGAAATCTAAAGAAAAAAAAAAGATAAAAAAAAAAAAAAACTGGCTGGAACCAAGAGCTTCAATTATATACATGTGGCTACAACCTTCAAAAGCTTCTAAGTCTGTTCATTCAGCAAACACTGCCTGGATGCTCAGGACATGCCAGGTTCTCTGAAAGATGCTGCCTCTGCCTTCAGGTTACATGTAGAAATAAAGAAGTAGACAGACTATTTGGTGGAGGGGAAACACCAAGATCAAGGCCAGCCCTTGTGTAAGCTCATGGGTGGTGCATCCAACAGACCCCAGGAGCAGTCAAGGAAGGCATCACCAAGGAAGTAACTGCAAAAGAAGTCAGTCTGG